TCATTACCAGAGTGTCATTACACTTCCACTCATGTTCCAAAAAATGGTATTTCTGGTGGTGACAAAATAATTCGGAGCATCTGTCCTTGGACTTGGACATTCATGAAACAAAGATTTATTTTACTTTTGTTGACCTTAATTTCACCTCAGTCAGTATAACCTTTTGGGTTAATAACTCCTGATGCTCACCTCTACAGAAGTCAGTATCACAAGAAGTAGGTGATAGCATCAGCTTCAGCTAAAGCTGAAAAATAGTTTCTATTATAGCTACCTGTTTTCAAACTCCCTCTCTTATTGTTGCCTCAAGAGCACTCTGAATAAGGTGAAGCATTCTGAAATCTGTCCTATTCCAGTTATTACTCTATAATATGATTTTGTGTTTTTGTCTACTGATGGGAAATCATGGATAAAGTAGACATTATACTTGAAGGAGCTGTCTAAAGATTTTACATTTATTTATAATTGTGATAACAACTTCTGTCAATGAATAGCTTTATCCTTTATTTTCAGCATTTGGTCTCAGTAAGAACTACATGCAATGAATATCTTCTCTGCTGACACTGGCATACTGTGAAAGTTTCTGTTTTTAAGTTTCTTAAGCAGGTGATTCCTTGAAAGCAATAGCACATAGCTGTTGTGCAATATTGAGTTTGTTGTGTGTGGACTCTTGGCTCTCTACCCTGGACTTTAGGAGAACTGACTTTGATCTCTTCCGGGACCTACTTGGAGCTATCCCATGGGCTAGTGTGTTAGAAGGTAAGGGGGCCTGTGAGAGATGGTCAGCATTTAAAAAGCTCTTCTTCCAAGCCCAGGATTGGTGTGTCCCTGTGAGCAAGAAATCAGGAAAGGGTGGCAGGAGACCTGTGTGGATGAGCAAGGAGCTCATGCACAAACTCAAAGGGAAGAAGAAGGTCCACAAAATGTGGAAAAAGGGGTCTGACAACTTGGGAAGAATACAGAAATGTTGTCAGGGCCTGCAGGGATGTGATGAGGAAGGCTAAAGCCCGTCTGGAATTGAATCTGGCCAAGGTGATAAAGGATAATAAAAAAGGCTTTTTTAAATACGTTAACAGTAAAAGGAAGACTAGGGAAAATGTGACTCCCCTACTAAGTGAGGGGGGTGTTTTGATAATGGGGGATGCCAAGAAGGCAGATCCCAAATGCCTTCTTTGCTTCTGTCTTCAGTGAAAAATCTCTCCCTCGGGAATCCCAGACCCTGGAGGTTAGTGAGAGTGTCTGGGGAATGGAAGACTTCCCTTCAGTCAGTGAAGAGGCGGTCCAAAAATGCCTAGGCAACACCAATGTTCATAAATCTGTGGGACCGCATGGGTGCTGAGGGAGCTGGCAGAGGTGATTTCTGAATCGCTCTCTTGGAGCGTCTCGGAGAGGTCTTGGATAATGGGGGAGGTGCCTGAAGACTGGAGGATAGCCAGTGTCACTTCGGTCTTCAAAAAGGGCAAGAAGGAAGACCCGGGTAATTATAGGCCTGTCAGCCTCACCTCTGTCCCTGGAAAGGTGATGGAACAGCTTGTGCTGGATGCCATCTCCAGACAACTGGAAGAGAAGGGGGTTATCAGGAGTAGTCAGCATGGGTTCACCAAGGGGAGGTCATGCTTGACCAGCCTGGTAGCCTTCTATGATGTTGTAACTGGCTGGGTGGATGGGCAGAGAGCAGTGGATGTAGTCTACTTTGATTTCAGCAAGGTGTTTGATACTGTCTCCCACGATATCTTTATAACAAAGCTGAGGAAGTGTGGGATAGATGAGTGGACAGTGAGGTGGGTTGAGGATTGGCTGACTGGTCAAAAAGGCCAATGGCATTCTGGAGTGGATTAAAAAGAGCATGTCCAGCAGGTCGATGGAGGTGATCCTCTCCCTCTACTCTGCCCTGGTAAGGCCTCATCTGGAGTAATGTGTCCAGTTCTAGGCTCCCCAGTACAAAAAAGATGGGGATCTCTTGTAATGAGTCCAGTGGAGTGCCACAAAGATGGTGAAGAGCCAGAAGCATCTTCCCTATGAAAAAAAGCTAAGTGAACTGGGTCTGTTTAGCCTTGAGAAAAGAAGACTGAGAGAGGAACTGATCCAGGTCTATAAATATCTAAGGTGTGGGGGGCAGAGTGGTGAGTTCAGACTCTTTTAGCAGTGTGTGGAAACAGCCAGAAACTGCAGCATAGGAAGTTCTGCACAAATGTGTGCAAGAACTTCTTTATGGTGAGGGTGACGGAGCACTGGAACAGGCTTCCCAGGGAGGTGGTGGAGTCTCCTTCTCTGGAGATGTTCAAGACCTGCCTGGATACCTACTTGTGCGACCTGATGTAGGGAACCTGCTTTGGCAGGAGGGTTGGACTTGATGATCTCTTGAGGTCCCTTCCAACCCCTATTATTCTATGATTCTGTGATTCTGTATCAAAAAATCGCAGGTCATTAAGTTACTAAAAAGTTTTCACATTTCCATGACTTGAAGAAAAATTGTATGGCTTCTGTTTTCTTTCAGATATTTAGTTAAGAAACTTTTATTAATTTATTCCAGAAAGAAAATAAACATGGCATAATGTATTAGAATACAGTAAAACTGTACTAAATACAAATATATATACGTGTGCGTGTGCGTTGGGTGGAAATGTACTTGAGACTTTGCCTCTGTTTTCTCAAAAGACCCAACCAAAAGGCCAAATCAAAGTGAGGTCTAATTTATCTAACCTAGCTCTTCACAAAAACTTGGCTCTTTTTCACGGTAGTATCACTCTCTTTAAGAAAAACTCTCCAAGCGTTTTTCCATGCTCACCAGTTACTCGTATAGTATACTGGGGCTCTTCCCTAAATTGTTTAGAATACACATCTGTCAGTATGTTGTCGTTTGTCTTAGTTTCAGCTGGGATTAAATTATTTTCTTCAGAATCATAGAATCATAGAATCACAAGAAACAACCTATAAGATCATCTGGTCCAACCGTCTCCTCATCACCATTGCCACCACTAGCACTAAACCATATCACGCAGCACGTCATCCAGACGCCTTTTGAACACTGCCAGGGATGGCGACTCCACCACCTCCCTGGGCAGGCCATTCCAGTGCCTGACCACTCTCTGAGAGAAAAAGATCTTCCTTATGTCTAATCTAAACCTCCTCTGATACAAATTGCAGCCATTTCCCCGTGTCCTGCTCATTGCCTGGGAGAAGAGGCCAAATCCCTCTCCACCACAACCTTCCTTCAGGAGGTTGTAGAAGGCAATGGGGTCTCCACTGAGCCTCCTCTTCTCCAGACTAAACAATCCCAGCTCCCTCAGCCGCTCCTCATAAGACTTGTGCTCCAAACCCCTCACCTGTTTTGTTGCCCTTCTCTGGACACGCTCCAGGACCTCAACATCTTTCCTGTAGTGAGGGGCCCAAAACTGAACACAGTACTCGAGGTGCGGCCTCACCAGCGCTGAGTACAGGGGGATGATCACCTCCCTGCTGCTGCTGGCCACACCATTTCTAATGCAGGCCAGGATGCCGTTGGCCCTCTTGGCCACCTGGGCACACTGTTGGCTCATGTTCAGCCAAGCATCAACCAACACCCCTACGTCCTTTTCTTCACAGTCATCCAACCACTCATCCCCAAGCCTATAACACTGCGTGGGGTTGTTGTGGCCAAAGTGCAGGACCTGACACTTGGCCTTGTTGAACCTCATCCCATTCACCTCAGCCTAGCGATCCAGCCTGTCTAAATCCCTCCGAAGGGCCTCCCTACCCTCAGGCAGATTGACACCACCTCCCAGCTTGGTGTCACCTGCAAACTTACTGAGGGTGCACTCAATCCCCTCATCTAGGTCATTAGTGAAGATATTAAACAAGACTGGCCCCAGTACCAACCCCTGGGTGACACCACTTGAAACGGGTTGCCAGCTGGACTTAACTCCATTCACCACTACCCGCTGGGCATGGCCCTATAGCCAGTTTCTTACCCAAAGGAGTGTATACCTGTCCAGGCAACAGGCAGCCAGTTTCCCCAGAAGAAGCCTGTGAGAGACCATGTCAAAGGCTTTGCTGAAGTTTAGGTAGACTACATCAACAGCCCTTCCCTCATCTACCAAACTGGTCACCCAGTCATAGAAGGAGATGAGGTTGGTCAAGCACAACCTGCCTTTCACAAACCCGTGCTGGCTGGGCCTGATCCCCTGGACACAGCGTACATGCTGTGCAATCTCATCCAAGATGATTTGCTCCATAACCTTCCCGGGTACTGAGATCAGGCTAACAGGCCTATAGTTCCCTGGATTCTCCTTACGGCCCTTCTTGAAGATGGGAGTCACATCAGCAAGCCTCCAATCCTCTGGGACCTCTTCAGTTAACCAGGAGCGCTGATAGATGGCTGAGAGGGGCTCGGCAGTCACCCCGCCAGCTCCCTCAGCACCCGAGGGTACAGCCCATCCGGTCCCATGGACCTGTGACAATCCAGATGGAGGAGAGGCTCTCTGTCTCCATCAGAATCGCTGGGGGCATATTCTGAGCAGTGTCCCAGACTTCCAGATTGGGTCATAAAAAGCCCAGAGGATAACTGGTCTGGCTATTAAAGACAGATGTAAAGAAGGCATTGAAGACCTTAACCCCCTCCTTGTTCTCAGTGACCATATTCCCTGCTGCATCAAGTATAGGATGATAATTATCTTTGGTTCTGATGTCTGATATGATACTATGTTCTGGTTCCGGGAGAAAAAAACTGTTGATAATGCACCAGTGTTTATATTTGCTAAGCAGAGTTGTACAAAGCCAAGCCCATTCTCACCTGAAGGCCCAAAGAGCTGGGGGGGAAGAGAATTAGAATACCAGACTTAAAATGGCCAAAGGGATATTCCATGGTGGCAGCCCTTCCCCATCTAGTGGCCCAGTCTGGCATTGGGTAAATTCCAGTCACTCAGCAAAAGCCAGAACACTGGAGTTCTACAATAGCCTTGGCTGAAACCAGAACACATTACTTCAAAAGTAGCAAGTCCTCCAATGGTAGAAAATTCTAGGACATGAATAGACATGAAAAGACGTCTCTTCTATAGAACTCTCTATTTCCCTGTGTTGCTTTCTCTAAAGTAGAGTACCAAGTTACTATTTCACAAGAAAAGGGAGGAAATACATTTGAATGCCCCAGATTAATATTGGGATTATAATAACTATCATATAGATTCAGGGGTAAGAAGAATGAAATTTCAGGAATGTATTTTTTTTCCCCAGTATGTGCAGGATGGACCATCACAGTCAGTTACTTCTTTGAAGTTAAAGAAAAAAAAAACATTTTTCCCACTTTAAAGTACTCGTTTAATACTTTGCTTTCATTTTATGCAATTTTTTTTAGCAACAGAGATCTGCAGTAGCTCTCAAGTTGGCAATTAAACTTCAAGCAGGAAATCGTACTTATTATTCTTGTAAGAGAAATTGAAGAATTCTAAAGGAAAAGGAATTACATGCAAGAGAGAGCCAATTTGTAATTTAATGTGCAATGTAAATGGCACTTCTCATCCTTGAAGTCTGCCCCTCCCCTTATCAACTACAGTTAATAATATTAAACATAAATGGACAACTGTTCTTCTGTTAAGAAAGGAGGAAATGTATTGCTGGAGCTATTCAAAACTGCAGAAAAAAATCTACACTGTTATTGACTTCAACACAACTTTGCATTTAAGTCCCCAAACTTATGGGGAAAAAGGAAATTTTCTAACGGCAAAAACATACCCTACAGACACAGCATGCATCCATGGCAATGATAATTCTGATTTCAATTAGAACTTACTTGCTCTCTTGTGCCTCATTTTTACAAGGAAAATAAAATTGAGAAAGGCATTGCTGTGATTAGCTCCTAGAGCCACCTTTTCTGAGTAGTCTGAAGTGACAGCCACAGGGGTAAAAATGATTGTACTAAAATGTCTACTAATGAGGCCCCTGTAGTACTGCTCCAAGAAGGACCATTATATGCTACATTTGTCAATTTCATCTCTTTGACTTTCTTTTTATCATCTGGAAATACACTGATTAAAAGAGTTGTGTTTTTTTAAAGCATTATTCTTGTTTAACCTTCATAATAATGCTCATTGCCTTCCTGTGCAGCTAAAATGTTCCAAATTAAAGCTCCACACTTCCTACTGACTTATGCTTAGTTTCTTTAGATACACAGTTTATGATAACAGTGCACAAACTTCTGCTGCATGTAGAAAGGAAAACATGAAAAATACCTGCAAATTTCCTTGTTAATGCAAAGCAACGAGTGAAATGAAAAATAATAAAACTTATTCTGTTTGTGTTGAAGGCAACATGAGTCCTATTACCTCTGCAATGATCAAATAAACAAGGGAAGGAAATAAAAATGAAAATAAATTTTTAAAAAAATATATTTAAAACATAATTAAGATAGAAAATAAATATCAGAAAGGGGAAAAAACAGAAGGAGTCATAAGGAGAGGCGGTAGGTGTTTAGATGACTAAAGAGGAAAACAAAAGTTGATTTCTTAATACGAAAAATGACAGAAATTAAGTGCCTAATTCTATACTTTCTACAAGAAAAACAGGTATGAAAAATTAAAATTATTGCACGTGCGGTTCTTAAGAAGCATGATTAACTTGTGTACAAATTACATATCAGTTACATTCTAGGGAAAAGGTAAGGTTCTCCAGGAACAGGCAAAATCTCAGAATCACAGAATTGCAGGAGTTGGAAAAGATCTCAAGAGATCATCAAGTCCAACCTGCTGTAAGGTTCCCTACAATAGGTCGCAAAGGCAGCTTTTCTTTCTGTCTCTAAAACTGTAACGTTAAGGAGCAACTGCTTCTATTGTGTTGAAATCTAATGGCAAAGAGAAGTCCAGAATTGACTAGAAGGTCAAATAGGTAACACAGGCTCAAATTTCAAAAGAAGTACTGACACACAGTACTGAAGCTTGTTTTGTGCTTGTCTCATAACAATAAAAGGCCACAATCTTTTAATAATTATAGACTACTATAATAGACCTTTAAGCAAGTGTAATGTGACTTTTAGAAATATCATTAAGTCTCTAAGAAGTTGATTTTAAAACTAAAAAAAGGGGAGGGGGGAGAGATGAGGAAAATAAGTGCATATATATTTTTTTTTATTCACTTTTTTTTTTTTTCAAACATTGGCAGCTCAAGCATGTGTTTATTATTAATTGTAATATTTAAGAATTCTCTCCAAGCTAATCCAATCTTTGCATAAATATTTTTGATGGATTACATGGAGCTAACTGAAATAAGGACACATCAGTCTTGATTAATTCTGCTGTTTTGTCAGCTTTTGAAGGATGCGTGTTTTTTAGAGACATGCAGCTTGGAATGAGAAGTATGGAGTCTTGATAAAAGAGAGTGAGAATGAATGCTCGCTTTTATCTTTTAATGGAGAAATTATAGTGTTTCTTTTCTGTCTTTAATGCATTAAAATTTTTGTATTGTCTCTAACCAGTAATGCCAATTAGAGTTTAAGTGTCTTGTTTTTTCCCTTTGGTTTGCTCACTCATTCTCCAGACAACAGTGTCTTTTCCTGATGAAATTACTTCATACACCTGATCAGATAGTGTTTTACAGACTTCGTGTAATGACTAGACTTCCTCATCAAGGAATACTTTATACTTTAACTGTATCCTTTCAATGGAAATACAATTCCATTATAAAAGAATCAGTCTGTTTTTACCAAACTATAATTATTGTATTTTCCAAGATTCTAACAGTAAATTAATTCAAGCATATATGTTACTCATCATATATGTATGTTACTGATGGTGGGAATGAGTATTGAAAAGCCTCTAGTACTCATAGTACTGAATTTAAAATTATGTAATGAGTTTAGATTTTTATGTCTGTTAAATATTTTGGACTCTATAGAGATAGTAGGTTATTCTTCTCTTTATTAGGTGAAGTCTGCAACAGTTCCTTTCATCTGCCAGTTTCCAATTATTAAAATGGTAGAGATTTTTTTGATCCATAATATTAAGTTGCTACTTATGAAAGTTTAGTGAAAGTCCCATTCGTTCCGGATGAAATAAAGATCTAAATCCTTAAATCAGCTTCTGTCTTTTCTGGATGTGAAAATATAAAAGCAGTCACTGGAGATATATGGTAATCCCTTTCGCATATTATCTGTTTAGTTAAGTCATTACTTCTTTTTTATCATGCTTCATCCAAACTCTTTCAGAATTTTGCCTGGCTCTTTGCCAAGTGAGACACAGACAAGACATTCTGTCCCTTTGGTCTTAATCAGAAAAAGCAGTCCTTTCATACAGCCCCCATCTTTATCTAGCTTGCTGAAAGGCCAAGAGTTAGCAACTGTAAATCACAGAACTATCTGCTTTGGAAATAAATCAGAAACAAAGCCAGTGTGGGTCTGTAATCCTTTTTAATCAATTGAAATGCCTTTTAATGAACATATACTACAAGAGCTCAACTGTTCCTGTTCTGTTGTTAAACAAGAATTACACCAATATTTTGATTTGCTGTATAAACTGTAGCAGTGCATACTAACCAATGTAGTCCAGTCTTACCTGTAATATAAAATATCTGTAAAGCAGCAAGTAGCGCTACTTTATATGTTATCACAGCACGCAATCCCAGGACTACATACTAATTTCAATTTGATTCACAGTACTGTACCCCCCAAAGACAGATTAAGAAGTATTAATTACTTTCCTGTAGAGCTTTTTCATCCCTTTATAAAACCGATAACTCCTGACCATTAACTATTCTTCCATCTCTTACACTACATTCTCTTTTCCCTAGATGTTCTCTAACTTTCCTAACTTTTCACACTAATGTCAGAGTCTGACTTGTATAGATAATTAGTAATAGTTTATTTATTTAAATATTAAACTGGTTGTTAGTCTATTAGGCCATAGACAAAAATAAAAATAAAAATAAAAATAAATTAAAAATGTCTAACAGTAATGTTAATTATCATAGGGAATGTGATTAAATACACTATAGTTTACTTTCTCTAAATAACTTGTTGAATATCTCCATTTGTGACCAATTATCCAAAAAGCCTCTTTTCACTAAAACATTTCCCCTTTTTTCATTATTTAGTTCACAGTGTAACTATGCCAGTTCTTCAAATTTATGTAAATCACATTCAAGTATTTATGAGTTACTATGTTTATACTGATAAGCTGTTGTGAAAATTGTCTCAAACACTATTTGAATTACTTAATTCTGAAGTATGACTGCAAAAAATGTGGGTCACTACTAAACACTAAAAATACTGAGAAAATACAGGTCTGATAAGTAGGAAAGGCATAAAAATGACAATACTGAAAGTCAGATTATCATTTTTTTTCTTTCCTTTTAAAATCTTTCAGTTAATTTTCTTTATCTAAGTTTAAATTTTGACTGATTTTAGTAAATTGCCCTAGCAATATTACATTCTCTTGGAATAGTTATGTGAGTTTTAATGTTTCACACTGTTGACTGGAAGGGATTTGCCTGCTTGGGAAAATGCCAGAATTTGCATTTTCATAAAGATATGTCAAACAATAAACTTGCTTAACATCCTGTGACAGATTTGGTGAAACTGTGTCATGTAACTGTATTACTGCACTCACTATCCTTTTCTGCAGTAACTGTTTTAAGAGAGACAAAACTAAAAACAAATTCATGCATTAATTTCTTTTTCAGCTGTAAGCTATAATTATAAACTATAAAATCTGTTTCTGTAGTGCCGTAACTCAGATAATAATCCAATTCAGGTTGGATATTAGGAAAAAATCTCAGAAAGAGTAGTGAGATATTGGAAAGGACCGCTCAGGGAGGTGGTGGAGTCACTGTCCCTGAAGACGTTAAAGAAAAGTGTATACATGGCACTGAAGGACATGGGTTCATGGGCATAGTGGTGATGAGTTGGTGGTTGGACAAGGTGATCTTAGTGTTCTTCTCCAACATTAATGGTTCCATGATTCTACGGTTTTTAGAACTGCAGTATTCATGAGGAAATCTGTCTGAAATTTAACACCTAACCTAAAGATGACACAGTTTGAGGGAATAAAAAGGACCTGAATTT